TGGAGGGGAACTTCCAGCAAACGTGAATGCTCCTTTATGGGGTAGACAGGCTGTGCATTCACCTTTATTTAATCATAAAATGTGATGATGTGTTTACAGAAAGTCAGAAATGAGAGGGACTATTGATGAAAGCCAAGTGGTTCAGTGCTTTGAAAAGATAATTTCGATGTCTTGGGTGTGACATCCACTGGCACAGCCCTTAAGGTCCACTGTCTCACACCTGGCTTCCTAGGTTTAGGTCAACTGCCAGGCCCTGAAGGCAACGGATCGCTGTGCAAACCCTAACTGGTCCAGCCCCTCATCTACGGTCGGGGAACCAGGGTCTAGCCGCCCAGGCCAGAGTTGTTTAGTTTGGAAACCGTCGGGCCCCTGCCCTCAGCACTGCAAGTAAAACACACTGGAACTCATGGTGAAACATTATTTGGGCTCTGGGCTGTTAGCAGGGAGACTGAAGTTAGAGGACGAAACATGGTGGGGGAGGGAGGGAGAAGTGGGGAGGAGCCGAGATGAACGTGCGCCCGGCCAGACCGAGCTGGGAGCTGAGTTGCAGCAATGGGATCATCACCACAGTGGTTTGCTTGCTGGAGCCCATAGCGATGAAAGCATAAATTGTCGTCGGCGTGTGGGAGCATGGGCCGAGCCAGCAGGCTCCATCGCATCCCTCCCCCATGGGGGTCCACTGCAGCACAGGATGGCAATGGAGGAGGACCCACTCTATGTGAGCTGCTGGGAGAATATGCATTGAGAAGGTTAAAGCAGAAACTTAGGTCACCCCGAACACCACCTCCACCGTGAAGCCTTCCCTGACCACTCCAGATGGAGCTGATTCTTGCCCCGATTCAAGTATCCCTATTAAAGCAATGGTCTTATTCCATTGGAATTGTTTCCCTGACATGACCACCTCTCTCCCCACTCACTCTCCATTCATTGAAGGTGGTGAGCAATTAGGTCTTTTCATGTTTGGTGTTTATATTCTGTGCCTCTGTCTGGGTGCTTGGTGTCGGAAGTGCTCGATAGACATCCGTTGAGTGACTAAGCCCTTTATCGGCCACACTTAGTCCCTCACAACCTAGCGTGTGCTGTTCCTCCCTTAACTGGTTCCCAATGCCCTGGAGGAAATTTTGAAAGGAGGGGCATGGGGTAGAAGGCAGAGAAGTGGCTGGAGGCTGTGGGCCTGGGGTGATGGCCTTAACCTTGGGCACACTCCTAAACAAAGCCCTTGAACACTCTCGTGTCTCTTGAGAGAGACTAATGTCGCGAAGAGGGGTCGGTGGTTTGCCCAGTACGTTGGTGCCGTGTTCTAGGGAGGAGAACTGGTGGCCGTGGTTCGCGGTGCAAACGCCCCCCTGCTGCAGAGAACCATCCTGGACCAGCTGGAGGCCGAAAAGAAGGTGCTGGCCGAAGGCAGAGAACGGAGGGTGGTAAGGAGGTCACTTCTGCAAGCAGCAAACCCACGAGGGTCCCCTCCACTTCCTCCACCCTTTTTCTGGCACCGTCGGTGGGAAGTGTGGTTAAATGCCCACCCCTGCATTGCACCCCATTGAGGCCTGGGAGGAGGGCGCCTGCTGACCATGACAAGTTTGCCCTTTGAAGCTTCTTTTAAGAAGTCGTCTCCTTCCTCCAGAGTATGTTAACTTCTTTTATCCATTTCCTTTTCATCCCCCCTTTCAACTCAACAGGCATTTTTGGAACCCTAACAATGAATTCCGAAATGGAAACACAGTTCTGAATCAAGTAGTGGGAAGGAGGCGTCAGCCTCAGGGTGACATCTCTCCTGGGTCACCTCTCATTCCTGACGGTTCTACTTGTGGATCCCAGAGGGTTCATTTCTTTCGTTTAGAAGTTAAGCTCTGTCATTACCAGGAGCAATCGGATCAGCATAGCTTGTGATTTTGATAAATTCTTTCCATGATCACACAGACTGCAAGTTTTTCACAAATAATTGGCTGCCTTTGGATATGGACACACCGTAGGTAGAGAGAGGTACTTCCTGGTTCTCTGAGCATCTGCCAAATGAGCCTTAACATTGTTCAAAGTTCATTGTTCAAGTTTGAAACGTTCCAAATAGTAAACCCTATTTTTATAGAATGGATTAGAATGAAATTTTATATTTCCCCCAGAAAACTGGCAATTTTCCCCCAAAAAAGAAAATCACAAATGCTTTTGCCTTCTCCAGGGAGCATCATCTCTCTCTTCACTACCTCCCTGCACTGGGTAGCCAATTGCTTCTATGTATTTCTATTTCAGCTCCTCCTCTGTGTTCTTGCCAACTCTCTATCACATTCTTCTCTTTCCTTAGTTTTGACTTGATGTTTGTGAAAACAGGCAGAATCTAAACCTTCAGATCAGCATGGATTTCCATGTCTTCAAATGCTCTTACCCCACTGTCATCTGACTACTAACAAGGGTCTTGTAAAGTTTCCAAGACTGATAATCTTTTTTTTTTTGAGGAAGATTAGCCCTGAGCTAACATCTGCCACGAATCCTCCTCTTTTTGCTGAGGAAGACTGGCCCTGAGCTAACATTCATGCCCATCTTCCTCTACTTTATATGTGGGGTGCCTGCCACAACATGGCGTGCCAAGCGGTGCCATGTCCGCACCCGGGATCCAAACTGGTGAACCCTGGACCGCTGAAGCGGAAGGTGTGAACTTAACCGCTCCGCTACTGGGCCGGCCCCAAGACTGATAATCTTGACGCTTTTTTTTCCTCTGTATTTTGGACCTTTATGTTTTTGGTTTCTGCAGGTTTTGGAAGGTCTTTGTGGTAATTTTAATTAGCTAATTACTTTCTGTTCACGACCAATCTGCACTAGATTAAAGATGAGGCTCTTTCTGATGAAGATGAACATTCTTCTCATGAAAAGGACGATGGTGAAGATGAGGATGTGGGTGAGTACAGAACCAACAAGGAAGGGAAAAGGGCAAAGCAGACTCAGATTTGATGGGTTTTCCAAAAAATATGTGAGTAATCAGTTTATTGAACAATCTGAACTCTGGGAAGATTAATTATAAAACGTTTTGTCCCCAATCACCTGACTTCAAACACACTGTGTCAGTTCTCCCTTCTGCCCCTTAATGGCGTCTTGGGCACCATTCACAGCTTTCTGATCATGTTCAGACATAACCAGTGTGGCTTTCATGGCAATTACCGGGCATCAGGAGAAGCTCCATTCAATAAAGTGGAGGGTAGTGGCACTAATAATGTAGAGTCATGATGCTGGTGTTTCCTTAGACCTTATTTGAGCTGACAGCTCAAGTTTCTGTTTTCACCTTTTTTCTGAAGTGTCAGAAAGTCAGCTGTACTGAACACCTCCCTCCGACAGCCCTGCGCCCTCGTCCCGGGAGTCCCAAGCATCCCTCACCCCTGGGCGTCACAGTTCTTCCTGAAGCTTTAATAGGAAGAGAACAGCTTTATCTGACAGTGCGCAGAGACGCCGGAAGTCAGAAGGGCCCTTGCTGGGAAGGTGCTCTTGATGGTGGCTGAGACACCAGGGACAACCAGGGTTAAGTTCAGGAACGGAGCTGGAAAGAGAAGGAAGATTTTTATTATTGCACGAAGTAGAAAGGCTGTTTATTGGAGAGTGGATGAGGACTGTTAGAGTTGGATTCTAACAAGGAAAGAGGCTCAGTTTAGAGAGCAAGGAAACGTCAACTGTGAAAAGAAATCAGTGATTGGGCTTCTGCAGGAAACAACTTTTGCCTCCTTTTTGGGTTATCTCCTCTTTCTTCCCTCCCAATTATTCCCTCTCAAATCAAGTCTCTCCATCTAGAAAACATCACAAAGCCTGCCCTGCCCTTAGCCTTTCTCTCCTGCACAGCCAAGCTTCCTGAACTTCGTCCACACTCGTGGGGCCACCCCTTCCCTTTGAATCCTGTCCCCACCTGCCGTGTCTGGCCTCTGTGCCCGCTCCTCCCTGAGCAGATGCTCATGGGGGCACCAGAGACCTTCTTGGTGCCAAATCCACTAGGCAACTAGGCAGGTTCCAGTCGTATCCTGTGGCATCTTTCGGTGGACTTGGATGGTGTTCACAACGTCTCCCTTCTCAAACCCTCTGCTCTTTTGGTTTCGGAGACCTCACGACCTTTCTCGTTTTCCTTCTACATCTCTGGTCTCTCCTCAGCCTCCCCTCCATTGCCTTCTTTTCTTTTGCTCTTCTTTCAAGCTGGAGTTCTCTGGGCCCCTGCTCTGGCCTCTTCTCTTCTCCCTCCACATCTGTAGGTGATCTCATTAACTGGTCAGTTTATAACAGAATTTATTGTGAGTCTCTTTAAAGTCTAAGTGTACATGGGATGTTAGAAACAGTACTCACAGAAAAATGAACAGGTTTGTTGCTGAAAATGTTTCACATCTTTGCAGTGCACGTTTTGAGATTTTTAGAGTAAGAAGCCCTCCTTAAATGCAGACATTGTCATATTTTATTGCAACCCAATAGATGTAAAAGCTGTGAACGGGAAAATAGGGGAATACAGAGTCAATGGAGAGTGCAGGTAGCGCCCCAAGGCCAAGTTCGTCCAAGCAGGACCACACCAGGCATGGCCTCCTGGGCTGGACACAGGGCTCTACAGCTTCTGCTGGCCCGAGCAGTGGCAGCTCCCTTAACACCACTGCTAACGGGACCTGTGGACACTGGCCAATCAGTGCACTGGTCAGTGGGCTATGACTGGTGCCTTGGCTCCAAATAACGAGCTGGCCAGTCCGGTCTTCCCTCAGGAGAATCTGCACTGAGACCTGGAAGATGGAAGCTGCAGTTTGTTGTAGGTGGTGGCATTGGAAAGTTGTGGGGACTCAGGGCCTGGCCAGCCATTCTTGGCCACACGCCAGGAAAGCTAAAAAGCAGCATTGGTAAAGGAGCCAGTGCCGTGAGAGAACACAGTAGACCGCGGGCAGAGGCCAAGAATCACAAGAGTGTGACAGGAAGGGACAATAGTGGCCAGGCCTGCACTGCCTCTGCTCCAGCTCTCCCCCATCCAGGCGACTCTTTCAGTTGCTTCCGGGTTTCTGCTCCTGAGTAGTCTCTGATCTTCTCCCCAGCCCCCCCCCTCTCCTCAGCCCCTTCCTCCCAGGTTTATGTCCCCTGCATGTCAATGTCCCTTGCAGCCAGGTTGAGGTTGAGGTCTGGAGGCAGACCGGGGCATCCACTAGAGTCCAGGTCTGCAGGGGCACAGCCGGGAGGCCAGGCGAGGGAACCCCGGGAGCCGTGTGCAGAGGCTGCCTGGTCCCTGCGGGTGGCCTACCGAGAGCCTCAGAGACGCTGACAGCACTGCCCTCACTGACTGCAGTTTCAGCAGCGAAGACCTGCACCTTGGCCATCATTAAACCGGATGCGGTGGTCCACGGCAAGGCCGATGAGATTATTATGAAGGTGAGAGAGACCACACTTACCCTGCAGACTGTCCTCATGTCTTCCCGGTGGGAAAACAGGCGTGGGGGCTCATGCAGCAGTGTCCTAGTGGGAAAAGAAGGCTTCTAAGGACCTTTAGCCAAAATTCCATTTAAGTAACTTAAAAATTTTAAATCTAATTGGGAAAGATACCATGAGGATCAGGGTCGCCACAGCTTTTAATGTTGCCTTTTTTTTTTTTTTTTACTTTTTACTTTTTATTAAGATTATGATCGTTTACAACCTTGTGAAATTTCAGTTGTACGTTATCGTCAGTCATGTTGTAGGTACACCACTTCACCCTTTGTGCCCACCTCCCCACCCCCGCTTTCCCCTGGTAACCACCAATCAGTTCTCTTTGTCTATATGTTTAACTTCCACCTATGAGTGGAGTCATACAGAGTTCGTCTTTCTCTATCTGGCTTATTTCACTTAACATAATACCCTCAAGGTCCATCCATGTTGTTGTGAATGGGATGATTTTGTCCTTTTTTATGGCTGAGTAGTATTCCATTGTATATATATACCATATCTTCTTTATCCAGTCATCAGTTGATGGGCACTTAGTCGCTTCCACGTCTTGGCTATTGTAAATAATGCTGCAATGAACATAGGGGTGCATGGGACTTTTGGAGTTGCTGATTTCAAGTTCTTTGGATAAATACCCAGTATTGGGATGGCTGGGTCATATGGTATTTCTATTCTTAATTTTTTGAGAAATCTCCATACTGTTTTCCATAGTGGCTGCACCAGTTTGCATTCCCACCAACAGTGTATGAGGGTTCCTTTTTCTCCACAACCTCTCCAACATTTGTCACTTTTTATCTTATTTTTGCCATTCTAACAGGTGTAAGGTGATATCTTAGTGTAGTTTTGATGATTTCCCTGATGATTAGTGATGATGAGCATCTTTTCATGTGTCTATTGGCCATCCGTATATCTTCTTTGGAGAGATGTCTATTCATGTCCCCTGCCCATTTTTTGATCAGGTTGTTTGATTTTTTGTTGTTGAGTTGTGTGAATTCTTTATATATTGTGGAGATTAACCCTTTGTCAGATATATAACTTGTAAATATTTTTTCCCAATTAGTGGGTTGTTTTCTTGTTTCAATCCTGTTTTCCCTTGCCTTGAAGAAGCTCTTTAGTCTGTTGAAGTCCCATTTGTTTATTCTTTCTATTGTTTCCCTTGTCTGAGAAGACAGTGTGTCTGAAAAGATCCTTTTGATACTGATGTCAAAGAGTGTACTGCCTATATTTTCTTCTAGAAGCCTTATGGTTTCAAGTCTAATCTTTATGTCTTTGATCCATTTTGAGTTTATTTTTGTGAACGGTGAAAAAGAATGGTCAATTTTCATTCTTTTACACGTGGCTGTCCAGTTTTCCCAGCACCATTTGTTGAAGAGACTTTCTTTTCGCCATTGTAGGCCCTCAGCTCCTTTGTCGAAGATTAGCTGTCCATAGATGTGTGGTTTTATTTCTGGGCTTTCAATTCTGTTCCATTGATCTGTGCACCTGTTTTTGTACCAGTACCATGCTGTTTGATTACTGTTGCTTTGTAGTACATTTTGAAGTCAGGGATTGTGATGCCTCCAGCTGTGTTCTTTTTTCTCAGGATTGCTTTAGAAATTCGGGGTCTTTTGTTGCCCCATATGAATTTTAGGATTCTTTGTTCTATTTCTGTAAAGAATGTCATTGGGATTCTGATTGGGATAGTGCTGAATCTGTAGATTGCTTTAGGTAGTATGGACATTTAAACTATGTTTATTCTTCCAATCCATGTGCATGGAATGTCTTTCCATCTCTTTATGTCGTCATCAATTTCTTTCAGGAAAGTCTTGTAGTTTTCATTGTATAAGTCTTTCACTTCCTTGGTTAAATTTACGCCAAGGTATTTTATTTTTTTTGTTGCAATTGTGAATGGGATTGTGTTCTTGAGATCTTTTTCTGTTAGTTCGTTGTTAGAGAATAGAAATGCTACTGATTTATATATGTTGATTTAATGTTGCCTTTTCCTTTATCGTTTATTTTTCAACTACGTTAAATGTAAATTTGGGGTTGATTTACCCTTTCAAAATATGCATATATATATTTTACAGATCCAGGAAGCCGGCTTCGACATTTTAACAGATGAAGAGAGAACCTTGACAGAGGCAGAAATGCGACTTTTCTACGACCGCACAGCTGGAGAGGTCCGCTCGTCCGCTTCCGCGTGTCCCACACACTCTCCTTTCTTTCTCTTCCTCTAACATCATGCTTACAGACTGACATTAGTTTGGGAGAAAATAGAATATGATGGAGAAGAAGGATGTGAACAGCAAGTGGGCCGTGAGTTTGCTCTCAGCATAATGGTTGCAAGGAAGAGATTGTGACTCTAACTTAAGTAATGAAACAAGGAATTTATTGGTACTCCATAACTTCCAGAATTGAAGGAAGAGAGCTGAAGGAGTTGAAAAGAAGGTCTTGGGGAGAAGAACTAAGACAGGTGCAGGGATCTAGGAGCAAAACCTCAAGGCCAGTCATTTGAGGTGCTGCTGTTGGATAAGTCAGATTCAACCACCCACCATTGCTTCTGCTAATGACTCACCTACTCAGGAGGGAGGGTCTAGTTGACCGAGCTTGGGTCAGAGCCCCACGTCTCAGGGGAGGTGTGTGCGGCGAGGTTGGGGGGTGACAGGCATCGTGGTGTTAGGCAGACCAGGACCAAGTGAACTGGGGAAGGGCTGCTCCCCAAAGGGAAAGCAGTGCTGCTACGGGAAGAAGGGGGAAGGGTTGCCAGGCTCTGCAAAAATGAAGTCTCAGCTCCATCCCACGCCGTGGTTGTCCAGCATCTGCATGATTGCCATGCATGTGGTCTTTTAGATGCCCCACCTAATTTATTATAATCTCACATTCAGTCCCAAACGAGTCACCTCCAAGTCTCATCTTCCTGCCTTTAATTTATATCTGGGTTCTCCGGGTGTGGTTGGGCACCCTCCCCGCCCCTCCACCCTGGGGCCCTCCATGGCATCCCTGGGCCCTCCACGGGCATGCTGGCTGGTGGCAAGACTGCCCACTGTCCCCCTTCCATCCTGTGGGGGGATGGGCCCGCTGACCCTCTGCAGGCCCCACGGCCCCTGCCCTGGGTCACTGTTTTCCCTCCCTGTGCTAGGAGGCATTTGAGAAACTGGTACATCACATGTGCAGTGGACCAAGCCACCTCCTGATCCTCACCAGGACTGAGGGTGTCGAGGACGTGGTTACTGCCTGGCGAACCCTCATGGGGCCCTGTGACCCTGAGGTGGCAAGGAGGGAGCAGCCTGACAGGTGATGTCGCAACTGTGGTCCTTTCATCCATCTCAAAACCTGCACCCAGGGAAGCTGAGAGCCCCGCTCGATGTTGAGCCCAGAATCATGGGTAACACAGAGGCTCTCTGATGGTCATGAAGCCCCTCTTCGTTATATATTTGGAGAGACCCTGACCTCTTTGTTACGTATTTGAGGAGGCCCTGACATGCTCACCCTGTGATCCAGTCCCCAGCCATTCACTGAGTGCCTCTTGTCATCTGCCTCTTTGCTGCCTCCTCCCCCTCCGCCCTCTTCTGAAGGCTGCTGCTGGATCCAGTCCTCACTGCTCTTTCTGCAGCCAGAGGGGCCCATAGTGTGGTCCAGGAAATGCAGATTCCGGAGCCCCACCCAGGCCTGCCAAGTCAGAGACGCAGGGAGGGACCTAGGATCTGCACTGTAGACTTGTTGCCCACCCTCCCCAGCCCCAGGGTGTCCTGAGGCCCCCTAGGGTCTGAGCACCCTGTTCTGCACCCCACACTAGGCTGCAGTGGTCTGCTCCCTGGCCCTGTGCATATTTAGTCTGGCCCCGCCAACGCCAAACCCACTGTGTGTTGCCTTTGAAGCTGACAGAGTCCAGCCAACAGGAAAGAAATTAGCAAGAGACTAAGTAACTGCAGTTGTACCTGTAGTTGTAAGGGGCCGGGAACATTCGTGAATGAGGCAGCCTGGGCAGTGAAAGGCAGCCCGGGGTTCGATCTTAGGTTGGCGCATACTCAGGCAAGTCCCTTCTCTGAGCGTCTGTTCTAGTCTGTAAAGAGGCGATATGAGCACCTGTGATAGGAGGCGTAGAGTGTCACGGTTAAGAACACAGACTTCAGGATCTCTCTTCTCTCTTACTGACTGCCTGGCCCTGGGCCGTGCTTTAATCTCTCTGAGCCTCAGAGTCCTCATCTGAAAAATGCCTACTACAATAGGGCCTGCCTCCGCCGCTGATGAGAGGGTTAGAAGAGTATATATACGTTGAAGCACTTACGACAGTGCTTGACACGCGGGGAGCGTATTATCTTGTGGGGATCCTGGGGGATTAACTATGCAAACCTGTGCCAAGCCCCTGGCAGGGTGCCAGCCCCTGATAGTGACATCCACCAAGGGCAGCCCCTGGGCCTATGCTGTGCCTCACGCATATTTAAACTGGGGGTCAGGATGGAGGCTCCCTCGCAGGGCTGTGGCACACACGAAGCCCCAGGACACGTGCCCAGAACACTGCCATGACAGACGAGACGTCAACCACGGTCCTCCTTGCTGTGGTTCTTGGCTTTTTCAACAGAGAGAAAGCCAGTTCACAGAAATGCAGGGTGCTGAACGGTAGCTGGGGACCATGTTGCCAGAGAGAAAAACATTTCTTTTCAAATGAAACAACCGTTTCTTGTACATTTTGCTAATGTTCCCAGTCTCCGCGCTCAGTATGGCACAGAAATGCCCTTCAATGCGGTCCATGGAAGCCAGGACAGAGAAGACGCCAGCCGAGAACTGGCACTGCTCTTCCCCGGTTTTAAGTTTTCAGATGAAGTGCTGGAAGCCCCTCGGGGTAAGTCACCAAGGCGGACTGGCCTTCATGAAACCTGCAGGGAGTGAGCGGGGCTGACAATAACTCTGTGGTGACCCCGTCTTCAGATGAGTGAGGTCCTGTTTGGGAGACGGGCTCTTACATACCTGTAGCTGCAGTCCTCATCTGTTCTGTGTTTTTATAGACTAAGTGTTGCTTTTTAATATCGCCATTACATTTTTTGCTCCATTCTTACTCTGGAGCCGTATTTTCGTTGCAAAGTTACTTTGCATTTTCCTGTGGAAACCACTGGGAAATGTAACTAACTTTCTGGAAGCCTACTTCGAAGCCATTCAGAGGCCAGATGTCACCCCTCACTTCCTCTGCGCTCCGTGTGCCCCACACTAAGCCCTTGGTGGGGATGCTGAGAAGCGGAGGGACACAGAAGGGGCCTCTGCCGGAGCTTGCTGTGACTCTCGGATCAGCCCCCACAGTTTGGGAAAAGCGTGCTGGGTCCAGGCTCCAAATCTGGGTAAGACACCCAGGGCGGCCGGCGCGCGTGACTTACCGTGTTCCCCAAATCGGAGAACCAGGCCTCGGCCGGCTGCTCCTGCCGCCAGCCGCGGCGTCGGCTTGGAGCCCGAGGTGAGGTGGAGGGGCCAGGGCTGAACATCCTGGGAAGAGCAAAGGACGTGACGGTGGGATTCCTGGGAGATGGCTGCGTGCAGATCTGAAATGGTCATGACCCAGGTGTACCTAAATGTTTAGGTTTGAAGCAGTATGTTTACCCAAATATTTGATATCTTCATGGTCTCCTCCAGATTGGAATGTGGCCACTAAGAGCAGGGACAGGAGGGCGGGCTGACCTGCGCTGGCCCGCTGCCAGCTGAGGGCCAAGCTGAGAGCAAGCTGTGGTTCAGGGAGTTGAGAAATCAGGGAGTGTGGCTCTCTGTGGGTCAGAGACCCAAGTTTACACATCCGAGTGTGTGCTGTGGTCGTTCAAAGCCATTCCCCCGCCGGGAGGGACTCTCACTCTGGTCATGGTGGCATTGCTAGGGCCAGCTTTCCTCTGGGGACCTGCCCTCAGAGAGAGCCCACGATGCATGTCCTATGTGTGCAGGGCCATGGGCCGTCTTCGTGCTTTTGGAGTGATTGGAAAGAAGGGGGTTTAACTCAGGGCCGCAGCTGGGGAAGAGGAGGGCGGAGCAGCTGGGGAATACTCCCCGGTACTGGCGAGAGTGTAGGGACATCTGAGCCTGACTTTTTGGCCTCAGGTGATAATGAGCAAAGAGGACAATTCCAGATGCGTCTGAGCCCAGACCACATCCCGGGAATGTCACAGCCTCCTGCGGGCATGAACTTGCAGCGGCCTCGGTGCGATTGCTGATGCTCTGCCCATTTGTTTGAGGTGCCCGGTCTTCTCAGTTGTCAGGAGCAGAGTGTGTGTTCAATGTACCCGGCACTTTTCGTGCTAAGGGGCAGGGGTCAGGGCACTGGAGACACACAACCCTGGGTTTGAATCCTGGCTCCACTCTTTACCAGCCCAATAGCCTGGGGAAAGTTACTTACCTTTTTTGGGCCTCAGTTCCCTCATCTGTGAAAAGGGGATAAGGATAGACCCGTTATAGCCCATAGTAATCATCTTCCTCCAGGGCTGTTGTGAAGATGGGAGGAGACGAGGGAGAGGTTCTCAGCCCGGTGCCTGGCGCTTAGTAAGTGCTCCTCAAATGTTGCCCTTCTCCTCATTCTTTCATTCCTGGTCCCTGACACGCGTACTAGGACCTCTCTTTGCTGTCCCTTCCGCCCTGACCCCTCACTTCATCATCTGTGAGGTAGTTAGATGCCCTTTTCCTGTTTCTTTGTGGATGGTGTGTGGGACAGAGGACTGGGACAGGGCTGTGTTTCAGAAATCCTACAGAACATCTGTCATCCCACAGGCCACGGGGCCGAAGGAGCGAGTGGTGGGCCCCACGAGGCTCAGGTGCCCTGAGCATGTGGATGGACAAGGCCGTGACTGAGGTGGGGCCCGAGATGAAGTGCCAGTGCACAGAAGGAAACCTCCAGAACCAGAACTTATTCTTTGAGCACTGATACTTTTTTGGTTTACCTTTCATGAACAATAAAAATAACAGTGTGTACTTTCCTGACTTATTAAACAGTATATAGAACATATACTAACACTTTTTTTTTTTTTTGCTATCTCTGGGATTTTACAAAATAAATGGACATCAGTTATTGTCCTCCGCTGTGATATGATGTCATCCCAGGTCAGTGTTGCCCCAAGAATAAATCTACTTTATGATTTAAACAGTTTTCGAGCTGAACTTGGTAACTATGAACTTGAAAACAGTGCAACAAGATGGGACATGACGCTTCCAGGCAGAGTGACGTGGAGGCAGGTACAAATCGGCTTTACATCTTCATGCTGCCGCCCCAGCCAGGAGGACAGTCCTGTGACGCTGCCAGCTTTGCCATCTGTGGTCCTCCACGGAGCAGGGCACGTTCATAAAGCAACACCTGGGGTTTCATTTGGAACCAGGATCCATCTAATTTTCTTGACATGCCCCTTCCCTGTTTCTTTGGTTTCTGATTCTGGCTAAAGCCTGGTTTTAAAAGCTGCAAGCTCCTGGGAGCCAGGTTGCTGCGGCTTCCACTGAAGCGCCTGGTTTAGCCGCCCCTGCACGGTGTGCCCTTGAGGGATACAGGAGGTTTTCAGTACAAAGTAACTGTTATTAGCCCCGTGGGTATTAACGTGCACAGCCGCCCTCTCTTACCAGCCTGCTCTTGGGTTTATTTGTAAATTCGCTAAGCCCAGCATACTCCTTCCTCTCCGAGGGAAAGGCTGTGTTCTGCATCACAAGGCAAATGTCAGCCATTTCCTTCTCATTTGCTGGTTTTCTCCAGAGGACTCTGTCCTTATGACTTGAAGAAGTTTTTTTTTTAAAGATTGGCACCTGTGCTAACATCTGTTGCCAATCTTCTTTTGTCGTTGTTTTTCTTCTTCTCCCCAAAACCCCCTAGTACATCGTTGTATATTCTAGTTGTAGGTCCTTCTGGTTGTGGCATGTGGGACGCCACCTCAGCATGGCTTGATCAGTGGTGCCATGCCCGTGTCCAGGATCCGAACCAGCGAAACCTTGGGCTGCTGAAGCGGAGTGCACGAACTTAACCGCTCGGCCACGGGGCCGGCCCCAAAGAAGTTCTTTAAATGGGCAGTTAGCTCCCAGAAAACTGCTCTTCCTGGGCACGTTACTCTTCCTGCCAGCGTAGAGCATAAGGCACCCTGTGCTGGCCCTAGGGATAGAGGGATGAGTCAGGCTGTGTGAAGGTGGGGACCAAGGCCTGTGACACTGGGTGGATGGCTGCGTTTCCCATGACTTTGTGTCACCTCTGGAGGGAAACATGCAAGCCTACTGTGCTCGTCAGTATCTGTACAGTCCCCGTGAGAAACAATGTGCTCAATGGAGCTCTCCCTGACAAGATCGGTTAGAAGTTGAATCCACTGTTTCAGACCCCGAGACGTGCAGCCCACCATGGGGCTATGTTCTTCCCTTTGTGAGTGGGCTCAAGAGGGGGGACTCAAGTGGTCTGTGCCCACCTCTGGCAAATGCCTTGGAGGAGCACTAGGGCCCTATGCCTGGCCTTCCACACCACAGGTGCTGTGTGGCTCTGAATGAGCTGCTCGGGGGTGCGCCCAGCTGACAGATCTCCCCAGAAGCTGGGGCCCAAGGATCTTCCATCACTGGAGAGAAGAGAAATGGAGCGACCAAGGCCTCTGAAAGCAGCAGAACAAGGGGAGAAGGTGGGAGAACTGGACCTGCAGGGGGAGACGTGCGCTGGTGTCTGGGAATGAATGACCTTGAAGCCTTCCCAGGAAGTAGCTGGAGCGGCAGGGCTGGGAGGGGGAAGCAGGAGGGGCACTGAGTGATGGGGCTAGAGTGGCAGGGGTGGTGACACACCCCCTTCTTCCATTACTTGCTTGGGCATATCTTGTCTCAGAGTCCAGAAGGTTCACGGCAGAAGGAATGGAGGTGGGCGGGGGAGGGTGGTGGTGGAAAGAAGGCTCCTAAGAGTGGCCAAAATGTCAGCCCACGCTCTGAGGATGGAACTCCTCGGCGGAGAACCTGGGCCTGGCTTCCTCTGACAGGAGCAAACCCAGGACTGCAGGATGGGTGCCATTTTGGGTGTTAAAGCCTCTCAGCTCCTGGGTGTCAGGGCCTGAAAGGGTGGAGAGCAGGCCAGCCCCATGAAGTCAAGGAGGGTGGCTCCCTCCTAAGGACTGGCTCTGGCCCTCCACTCAGCGAGAGGGCTGACTGCCTGGCAGAGCCAAGGCCAGGAGCCAGGCGCTGCAGAGCTGGAGGGTGGGGAGGCGGCTCAGTAGGTCATGACGTGGCCCTTGAGGGGGCTTCCCTCAGCTTTCTCAGAAGCCAGGTCATAGACCAAAACTCCCCTTGTGCTGGGAACTGACACGTGCCTCTCCGCCCAGCAGCGAGGGAAAGTCAGTGCGAAGGAGCAGGACTTGGTGTTGGGACCTCTCTCTGCTGGCTCTCCATCAGGATCTGGGGTCAGTCCTCCTTTCCTCTCCTTTCTCGGGCCTCATTTCCCAGTTTCCCCTGTGGCAGGGGAGTTCCCTCCCCTGTCAAGCACCTCCCTACCCTCCCCCAACACTCTGGGGCAGGTGTCCTTGGCTTTCTCTCTTTCTATATTTTCGGGATGGGGAAAGGAAGGCAGCACACAGTGAGCAGGTGAAGAGTGCCCGTGCACCCTTGCGGAGGGAGAGCAGCCGCGTGTGCTGTGCAGCTGGCCGTTTGGCATCCTTGCCTCTTCCCTTTATGGATGCCGCACCTCTTCTGGGGGCAGACTGGATGGAGGGGGTGGACACAACTTTGGGAGGTCCTGGTGGCTGGGAGTAGCCACTTGTAAAGGGTCTTCTAGTCTTCAGGAGGCCAGGAAGAAAGGGGTCTTCAGACGGCTGCAGATGCCCCTGGAAGCCGGAGTAATCTTAGGGCCCCGGCCCCCAGCTGAAATGCAAAGTCGCTTCCTGGTTTCTCATTCACCAAGAACCATAGGTTCCAAAAGCCAGTACACATTACCTCCTAATGTTTCCTAATGTTCTAGACATTTGGAAAACAGACTCCTTTTTAGAAGTTGCCATGATTTTTCTTGGCTTTTATTAGCATGTGTTAAAATCATATTATCCAAACACTACCAGAAGAACATGTATTGTTCCGCATAAAGTGCTTAAGGAAAAAAATGCAACTTATTAAATTGGACATTCTTTTCTAGTTTATAAATTTTGGGTTACAATCAGGGCACAAAAAGGAGAAACAGAATGCAGTATTAGAGAGAGCGAGAAGCTTGGTTAAGAGCTTGGGTGGAGACGCAAGACCACGCCCCCTTCCCCCCACTTCCTTGCTGACTGAACACTGCACCTGCGTAAAGCAGCAAACAGCTTTGTTTTAATAAATACATTTTCCTTCATTCAAATCAGAAAGGTTAATTATAGTAAAGCACTTTTTCTTCGACCAACTGTTTATAGCCAGAGGCAAGATTTACCCACAGAGTTTAAGTGTGAAAGTGTGATTTCATTGGGCCTTCAGCTTTCTGATGCTACCTGGGTTCAAGATTGTCTCAGCAATTCATTACTGGTTTCTTTATATTTACCTGGTACTTTTACATACCAACTCTATAGTGTTTTAGGATACAAATGCCGACCATGGATATTTTCTCAGGACTAGAAATGTCAATGAGTGGCCTGGATGAGGCTTCCCCAGTAAACTAGATTTCCCTTAAACTGGCTTCCTCACACGGGCACTCTGAGAGCTGCACGAAACCCAAGTCCCTGACGTGACAGACTTTAAGTCAGTGATGTTCTGAAAAAATAACAACTTGGAAATCTCTGTGTTTGAATCTTGGGTGGTCATGTTGAAAACAGGAAAAATTGCATTAAATACATTTTAAAACATTCATTTGCAATCAAACATATGTAAATCTTCCAACGAAGGTGCAGGTTGGTGACGGGGCGGCTGCAACGAAAGCACTCCCATCAGGAGTGGCTGGTGGGCGTGGGACCCTGTTGGTGGCACGCACTCACGGCAAGCCTCTGGGCCGCAGACCTCACTTCCTGGCCACAGTCCCTTTGACCTTTTAGCAAAAGGAAAAGGAAGGCTGGTTCTACCTTCAAACAGTCAAGAGCAGCCTCTGTTGAGTTCACCTTGAAGCTGACCCAGAAGTTGGAGCGGGCGCCAAGCTGAGGGCTGTAAGGGCCAAGCGGCAGTCGCTGTGAGAAGCCACCTTCGGTCCTCCTGGGGAGAGGCCCTTGCCTTCTCTCAAACTTCGGCGCTTTGGGCTTCATGCAGGAAAAGATCTTTGCTGTATCTCTCACTAAAATCTCGATTTCACTTTACAAAAGCACACTGAGCAGCAGTCCTGAGTGACTAGCATGGAATTTGCTGTGTATAGCCAAAGCAAAAACAAGCTTTCTAAACTATCCTGTTCTTTGCTTGTTTCTACAGATGGGCCTGTAGGACGTTCTTTAGTTTCACAGTGATAAATGCTGTTTCAGGAAGCACAAGGTGATCGACTTTGTTTCCAGGAAGCGGTGACCTACTTTAGTTTCAGCATAAGGTTCCGTGACTGGTTCTAAATCCTGCCAGATATTGCTACACCAGTGACAGGATTTAGGGCAGCCGGCAGGCTCTTGGTGCTCCGTTCCTGCCAAGGGTAGCCCACTGGAGTCACGGCTGGGCTTTCACTTCAGTAGTCCTATTTCCCTCTGATGTTTCAAAAAAACGTGTGGTGAGTCTGCTGCCTCCCTCCACTCCCCCCTGTCCATCGGACCTGGAAGCCTGAGAGCTGACTGAGTTAGGCTGAGAAGAGGCCCTGCACTCGCTGACCTTGACGGCAGTAAGACGCTAGCTTACTATTTTGCACAGCACCATATATCATGCCTGTTATTCAGGCCAACTATAGCCAACCTTTTCTTTTTCTTTTTTTGTTTTTGTTTTTTTATAAAGAAAATCTATGTAAGTTGAGGTTCAGAAATGCATATATTTTTTACTTACAAATATTCATCTGACCAAAATTCAACATAACTTTTATGGAACACTTAACAATTGTTTTGTTTTTAAAATAACATTTCATTCAAACTGTATATAATTCAGTAAGGTTTTTTATACAGCAAGCAATGCTTAAACCCTGGAAAATCTGTAGAAAAGAGATTTTCACACAAAATAAGAAAAGAAAAATTTGAGGTATCCCTCACACACACACATCCATTCATTCTGACCCACATGCGCGCACACACAT